AACTACATATTTAAACGGTGTTTGTTTATCTTCTACGTCGTCTTCATCATCGTTACAACTAGATCTAGGTCCCTCCTCTAACCCCTCTTCTGTGTTTGAATAAGCTAAAAAGTACTGAATAAAATACGGCTTAACGAGATTTATATCATATTTTCCTGAATTAAACCCTATAACTGGCATTTGTCGCAAATACTCGTCTAATCTACCGCTAAGAAACCTATCAAACCCTTTGTCGTTCGACTTATTATCACTACCCCTAGCTTTAGGTGGAAATAACTTCCTGATTTGCTTAAAAACAGGCTCGAACTGTTTTTTCAAAATTCCATAAGCTGCCTCAGCAATTATGTGGAGTCTGTCAATAACTCTAGTCACTAATTCTTGAGGGTCACCAGTCGAAATAAAACAGATGGGTTCGACGAACCCATCTACGTTTGAGGCGACAGAGCAAGACAAAGGCACGTGTTTGGCAACGCTTTTTGTAACTCTACCTAACGTGGGTAACGCGGTATGGTCGAAATAGCATTCGAAATCGTAAGTTGCTCGGAAGGGATAAACAAAGTTACTATCTACATCTAACCCATAGGACGCTAAAAACTCCCAGATTGTTTGCTGTGTCTGATAAACCCCTCCCTTATACCTATCTACGGGTTTCCCCCCATTACACCCTTTCACGTGTCTGTTTAATTGTTTAACGGTGGGCCATAATTTGTTACACACAGAACACGCGAAAGCGTGACCCGCCCCACCTATATTATTTATGTACATAAACTGATTTTGAAAAAATAAAAGATACACAGTCTCCCTAAACCTATCACTACTTCTAATTTTCGGAGAAAGGATCTGGTTTTCGTTAAATTCAAAAAGCTCAATATTTACACTAAAACAGGACTCTAAGAGGGGAATTTCGACCAACCTAACCCCACTAAAATTATCCAAGGTCCCGAGACCTTGGTACGCCTGCCACTGTTTCGCGAGTTTTAATGTTGGCTTTCTAAGATTTTTTAAGGGTGTTCCTAAATGTGTGGCTAAACATCTAAAAAAGGAAAAATTGTCTGTGTAGGGTTTTGAATGTGAATCGTGTTGTAACATGTTAATGGCGTGATTATGTTTAATAAAGTCAGGAATGTCTGTGAGAAGGGATGTGGGTAAATGATTGTCTGTGGTCGTGTGTAAGTCTACTGCATCTCCCCTAAGGTCGTCTACAGGAAACATAGTGGTGTCTGAATAAATGGTACTGTCATTGTTAGTCTTTACGCGTTTGTTGTTTGCTATATCGTCATACGTCGTATGTCGTTTTAAAGGGCTAGTGTTGGTCGCGGTACAAGCTGTTTGGCTCGCTGAAGGGAGTTGGACAGTATGTGTGTCGGTCACAGATGTGGGTTGGAGTGTTTGTCTGTTGGTTGCTGATGGGGTGTCGGTCGGTGATGTTTGGTTGTTGTGTGCTGTCTTATAATGGTTCGTTAAATTACTTAGTCTTGTAAATACTTTCCCGCATGTTGTGCAGGGATGTCTTTGTCGTCCGTGTGCAGAGTCTTGATGTCTTGTCAAATCGTTTCTGCGGGTGAATACCCGCTCGCATATGTCACATTTGTTACGGCTCATGGCTGGATGGGTGGTAGACTGGGCGGTTTGCATTATTGACGAAGTGTCTAGTAGTTGGATGACTGGGTAGGTCGGTGGCTGTAGAATAAAAATAAATACATAAAATAAAAATCATAAAATAAATTACATACTTAAAACAAAATTAAAACTGAACGTACCTATGGGTTTGAATGTGTAAGCTGAACGTGAAGTTAGCTGTGTGTGGAGATCCGAAATGGTGTAGTTGGATGTAGCTGGATCGTTTGGTTCAGTGGATGCCTCGGGGATGGGTAGGTAGATCAATAGGTTCGGTCGATGGTTAGTCTGTCTCGTAGGGTCGGTTGTGCACTAAAAAGGAATACAGTTGCCTGCTTATTTAGATACATATTTATTTAAAGGATATGTAAAGGATAATTCATACTATTAACCTTACCTCGGTGTACGATACAAAATTAAATTAATTAATTAAAAGGTATTTTAATAGGGTTAGCACCCTTAAAACAAAAGTAATATTAACCTTACCTTTAATAGAATAAACACACACAAAAGAGGTGGTCCGTGGAGGGTTAGGTAGATGTGATGGTTGATAAAGCTGGCGTGGGTTAGTCTCAGGAGTCAACAGAGGTCGCAGGCTGGATAAGTCGCGGTGAAGCTTGGTGTGAAGTCCGAAGTCGAAGTGTTTAGAACACAATTTTCGCGGTCATTTATACGATTGCTCAGCGTAATTACACCACCAGCTGTCGCACAACAGCTGTTGCATAATGACCTAAGTGCTTCGCGGAAAGCCACTTAATGTACGTCGTTAATTACCATACCCCCCGGTGGGATCGCTTCGCGAACCCACATAAATCATCATGACCCGTCAAATCGAGCGGGGGAAACTCGGAGAAGCCTAACAAAAATTTAATTAGGTGGGACATCATGCTGTGATGGCCCAGTGGGTGCGATCGATATTAACTCGGCCGTTGTACGGGCCTTCTAAAAAACAAAGGATTGCGGATCGATATGTAACAGATGTGGTTAAATGGATGTTCTATTTTCGGTAACCGTTCGTTGTGTTGGTGAATGGTCCCTATACAAAGTCCACGCTAGTGTTAGTCTTTTATTTAAATTCAAACTAATTATAAAATAAAATTAAAAATAAACAAAATAAAAATAATTAAAAAGTAAACAAATAATCAAATTATGTAACTCGTTAATAAAAATTACACAATATAAACAAAGTAATTAAATTAAACAACAAGTAAACAAACAAATTAAACAATTATGTAATAAAAACAAATAATCAAATTACGTAACTAGGTCAAAAATTAATTAAAATTTTAAAAATTCATTAAAACTCATTAAAAAACACATTAAAATTACGTAACTAGGTCAATGATTACGTCACAAGGTCACTGATTACGTCACAAGGTCAATGATTACGTCACAAGGTCACCAAAAGGTGACCTACTTCCACACCACCTGCGCCAACGCCAGGTGGGTGAGTATTTTACTATATGTCTTTGCGCCTGCAGCGCATCCTGCTCCACCACCCTGCGGCAGCTGGCGTAGTATTTTACTATATGTCTTTGCGGCAGGCTGCGGCAGGCATCCTGCTCCGAGTATTTTACTATATAACCTTTGCGCCTTCCCACCACCACCTGCGCCAAAAATGATACCCAAAAGGGACCTAATATACTACTGACGGACTACTGGACGTTATACAAACGCATTTTCAAACATTAGAAAGCTCTGCTTTGCCAAATAAAAACACTCTTTACTGTCTTCGAGTATACGGTGCCGATTGGGTATAAAATACCAATGCCAATGTGGTATACAATGCCAATGAGCGGAGGCGTCACGAGGCGGGGTAGGGGCTGCGGACAGCACCGGGTGACACCATTTTGGGGGGAGGGTGACACCAAGACAAAAAAGTGCAAAATATGTAGAAAAATATGATTTTTTTACATTTGAAATTTTTGGTGGATTAAAATAATGTGCACAAATTTACGCCATTTGACAAAATGGGAGGGGGGGGGTGACACCAATTGCAACTGTATATAGGTCCATATATATATATATATATATATATATATATATATATATATATATATATATATATATATATATATATATATATATATATATATATATATATATATATATATATATATATATATATATATATATGCCAATGTGGTAGACAATGCTAATGTTGTATAGAATGCCAGTGTAGTATAAAATATTAGTGAGGTAAACAATACCATTTAGGTCTAAAAAGCCGACATATAGCCCTCTTATATGCCTAAACTCAACGCTACATGACACTTCTATGTTGAACACCATGGACTTTATTTCTAGACATCACAGATCGTGTTAAGGGCTCGGGCTAGATTAAGCGTCCAGTGAAAAGCAATGCCTAACCCCATACTCCGGATGTCACATAACACAAATAACAGCGAAAACTTCATTCATTTCGCTCACAGAGCAAAACAAAATACAAAAAAAAAAAAAAAAACATTAGAAAATGCAGACCCACAGGACCCGCAATCCAGATATAACACTACAACAGATTATGTCCCTTACTTAGTAACGATGTAAAGTTTATTAAACGTAAATAACTGTTTAGCGTTGTTGGTTGTTTGTTGAGATAGTACGCTCGTTCAAAATACAGCATGTTACTATTGTTACTATATTATTTGTCACCTAAAATATAACCCTGGTTAAAAATTTAGCGTGCTGCTTTAATAGTTGTTCACTAAAATAGAACTCTCTTGAGTGTACAGCTGTTGCCCAATAAGTAATTCGCTACCGAGACAACGAAACTTTAATAGATGTTGACAATCAACTAAAGATACGTTTGAAGTTGTTAGGCCTTATAGCAACATCGACGCCTGTGCGGAAAAAATTCCTTGCAAAAGAATAAATTAACTACATGTGTGTACTATGTGAATAACCAAGTCCGACATGTAATTCAACATCTAAATATATTAATGTTTTTTTAGTATATCGTTCGCAAGTACAATGTTACGTGTAAATTTTTAAAAATAGAAACGCGACAATTTACATAACTTTAAACAGATGTGAGACTGGGAAGTATGTAGATCTAGACCGCAATTTTTATTTTTTAGAATTTAAAAAATGGTCACAATGGAAATTAGCAGTTCTGCGGTTGGGGAATGAGGAGTGGGGATTTGACAATGAACAGTTTGTCTTAGGCTTCTTATTAAATAGTATCGGAATAAACATTGTGCATATAATATTGTTGTTTGACTATGTGGTTTTTTATTTAATTTTTTTTTAAATTTAATTTGGTTTAGTAAGATTATAAGAAGCAGGCCAAACAAGTTCGACAACTATGGCCTATCTTAATGCTGTTTTTCATTTATTGAGCTCTTCTGTGCAATGTGCAAAACAAATTTGACCTTGGCACCGGAAACACACCTTCCCAATGCAAAAACTACAAGCAGGTCCAAGAAAGAAAGTGAAAGGAGGATAGATCTAGATCTCTAAATCATTCTAAATGACTGAGTGAAATTACACCGGTAAGAAGCCTGTAAAATTTAAATTCTTTATCCATACATTATTTTATAAAGATATGCTAGGAACTTTTATCGTATATCCACCTAGCGGAGCGGGACGGAATGACCGAAGGCTGAAATCAAGAAACAAGAAAGAAATTAGAAATGTCAGATGTCAGAAAACTGAGAAGTGAGAAATGATGAATCTCTGAATCTTGTTTGAAATGTTTGTTGTCTCTGAGTTAGTTGATGATGAGCCTATCTAGTCTACTAGTATCTAGACAAAATCTAGCTAAAATCTAGATTTCCAGAATTTATGTGTGGTTTATTCAAGTTTATTGATGAATGCCATATCTGCCACTCAGCCAGCTCAGCGTCTCTCTGAGAACTAGATCTAGATATCTAGAATCTAGATATCTAGATCTAGAATCTAGATCTAAATTAAAGTAGTAAATAGTAAGCCTATAGTATAGGTCCAGTGACATTCTAGAATCTAGTCTACCTACCTACTACTACTTATCTATCTAGATCTAGTACTACTGTACAACCAATTCTCAATCTTTTAATATATTGCAAGGCAGTACCATGAACAACACAATGTGAAAATAACTTAAGCCTAGCCTCTTATTTTTTTAAGTGCTATGTATTATGTAATTTGAAGTTATTTCTTCTGAAAACTTTACTTTATAATCACAACCACTGTAACCTTATTAAACAGATTCATCTAAAGATGCTGTCTGCAATCATTTTGATTGAGAACCTGCGATGGATGGTTCCCACAGTTTTTATGCTGGGAGCTGCCCCAGCATACATCAGTGTGTGGGGGGCGTGGAGGCTTGTGTCATCAGTACTCCCCAGATGGGTCTACGTCAAAGGAGATGATTTCTTGTTTTCAACCTATCATAGAAATCTGCTTTTCTTTTTTGAAATAATAACTGGTGTCGAGGTGAGGTTTCATTTTTTACTACAAGCATCACCTATAATACCTGTTATGTCATATTTAAAATCTTCAATTTAGCACATTTACATTTATATGGCAGATGAAGTAGAGTTCATCTGTTTCTTGAACATAGCATGGTCAGCACTCTGCTCAGTCACTTTTACCTTTCCCAAACTAGAGTTAGGTACCCATCAAGGCTGGATGGACTCAAGGATGGCATACAGACTTAAGTCCAAACTCAAAACTCTTAGTTATAAATATTTTCCATATTCTCTTTCATCCTACCCCATTGTCACGTATTAACAGAAAACACAGTGATGTATATTAACAGTTTGTTTGGTTGCTGCTTAACTGGTAGATAGAATAATGCCATGGGCATCAATGTGTGAACTCAGTTTCTTCTATCCTAAATGATGCCTGTATTTTTATTGCCTGTTCATCCTTGTCTGAACAACCAGAATCTAATTGTTGTTTTATTAGCTCACTATTTTTTTTATCTTTCTTTCAGTTAATATTTTATGGCGACCTTACAGCCCTTAAAGAGTTAGCAAAGGGAGAGAACTGTATATACATGTCTAACCATCAAAGTACATGTAAGGTCTCATTTATAGTTTTCTATCATTTTCATTTTAATAATTACATTGTCAATGTCTAGATTGCTTACATTGCTAGCAATTAGTGTGTACATTTTGCACATAATTTCACACAAAGTAAAATTTTTAATGTGCTGTTTAAATTATTTTTAAAAATTATTTAACCTTTATGTTCTTTCGTTCAACTGAAGCTTTCATTACAAATTTGTATTAAGAAATAATTTTATTTTACAGAATAAACATTTAGAAAATAGTTTGAAACTATAATATGCAGTTGCTGTGGTCTTAAAATCTTTATAACTAAGCTAATCTGTGAATAGTGTAGTTTCAAATACCTAATTTTTAACTTTTAAATAGTATTTCATTTTTTTTTTACTTGCAGTGGACTGGGTAATAGCTAGTTGCATATCTATGCGTCGTGGAAGTTTGGGTAGAACCCGCTATGTCTTAAAGGATGGACTTAAATTTCTACCTTTTTATGGGTTTTACTTAGGAATGGTAATTTGAAACTTGTGTTTTAAATAGGCTACATGCATAGATTCGATATAGTCTGGTAACTTCACAATTAAATTATTTTTTTGTATTTAAAAAAAAGAATTACTATATGGAACAAGATTCTTGTGCATAATTAGGATATGATCAGCTTATGTGGCAATGACCAAAGTAGGAATTAATTTGACTAAATTTGTGTTTTTCTATTTTCTTAAATTTATTTCAGCATGGATCATTGTTCGTTAAACGAGCTGGAAAGTTTAGAAAAGATAAGGCAGAAAAGCAGCTCAGTCGAGATGCCCATGATAAAAAACCTGTAAGCTGGTTCAGTAACAAATTTTTAACTTCTAGATGTAGGAAAAACTTGTTCAAAGTTATTAAATTGGTTACGTTTTAGAGAAAAAGTTAATGTGTGAGAATGCATGATTTATTAGTGGGATCATTATTGTCAATTGTTTAACTTGATGTATAGTAATTGTGATAAATATTTTTGTACAGATGTGGCTTGTTGTTTTTCCTGAAGGGACTCGCTTCAACCCTGAACTAATAAATACAATAGAAAGTAGTAAAGTTTTTGCTACAGAGCAAGGTAAAAGCTTAATAATAGTTGTTTTATATTTTTTTTTACAAAATACCTCGAATCTTTAACCTAGAAAAAATATTGAGTATTATGTGTCAACTTGTTATATATATCAGGGCAAACCTCTTTATAAACCACGACATTGATTCGGGAAAACAGGCTGAAATCTAAGTTAATGTCCTCTCGCACATAACAAGTTGACGCATTGTGTTGATGGAAATCTCCTCCAACATTACCATAAAGAATGAAAAAGAAGATTCAGTGATTGTCTTCTCTTTGTGTGTTGTGAAAAACTCTCAGTTGTTATTTTTTTTTATCTTCACCTCACCGTAAATAACAGACTGAATGAAACATAATGAAGTGTCATTTTTAAATACCATATCCCATTAAATACTCCACACTTGTCGTGCCTCATCAGATAACCATAAACATTTTTTAACCTACCCCATTTTGAACTGTGTTTGTTACCTCAGGCTTACAGCCCCTTGAGAATGTTTTGTTTCCAAGAATTCGAGCCGTACAAGTTTGTATAGAACAGTTAGGAAAAAGTGTTGATTCCGTCTATGATGTTACAATAGCATATGGAAACACATACGACTTCAGCACTAAGCAACGACTGCCTGCTCCACCTATGCAGGGTATGTAAACTAGTAAAATTTTAGTCTTGCATTCCTGCATGTGTTATAAGTTGTTTTTTTTTTTTGTTTTGCCTGTGACTCACAGCACAATAATAGCCTAAGTGTTAAACTTTGTATGGCCTTGAACATTTAAAGTTAATCTATGATAATGTAAATACAAATTGTTATTGAATAATGTTTGTTCTGATGGCAGTGATAGAATAAAGCAGCTTTTTGTGAGTTACTAAAACAGATTGATAATAATAGATGAAAGTTTTATATTTTTCTAATCATTAAATTTTTTTTTTAAAGCAAAATTGAAAATAATGACATTAGAATTATTCATCAATTTCAGATTTTTTAATGGGATCAAGTCCCAGAGTCCATATTCACATTAACAGAATTCCCATCTCAGAGGTACCTGTAGAAAAGGAAGAATTGAAAAGCTGGCTTTATTCCAGGTTTCAGCTGAAAGACAGGTTGGTCTCATTTACACTTAGGTCATAGCATCTGATACTTGTTAGGTGTTGCTGGAGATGTTATAATGTGTCACTGAAAGATACATTTGAAACAGAGTTGTGTGTAACTTCAGTCCAGAGAACATACCTCAGGCAGATGAGGCTTGTTAGAAGGGGGCAGCAGCTCATCTAGGAGAGATAACTCAAAAATCAAACAACTTCTTGCAGATTGTTCTAGGGTGGGCAATGGCTTTGGAAGCAAACCAGAAAGAAAAGCAGGCTGAAATTGGAGCCAACTGCCCATTAGTACATTACATGTTGGCATGTTATACTAATTTATGTTGGAGGAAATCCCATCCAATATTTGCAATAAAGAACTAAGAAGAAAATATAAAAACCTGAACCTGCCATTTTTAATTTTAGTTTTTATTTCCTATTTTCAGATTGTTGGAGGAGTTTTATTCAGCTGAATCTGAAAGTGAGGCCAGGTTTCCTGGTGTACGTATCATCAAACCACTGTCAATGTATTCACTTTTACCATCTGTGCTCTTATGGAGTGGAACCTTTGCTGCTTTCAATTCATTCAGAACTGGTCAGCAGGGCTACTGGTCAGTTGGGCTAGGCCTTGCTTGCATTGGAATTTTTTGGATGGCTGTTAGACCTTAAGGATCTGCTATGGTACCTCTGTTAGAAGTCTTGAAAGTGTTTTTAAAATCAAATTTGTGTCAAGGGTATCTTACTATTGAGAAGGTCTTGTGTACGTTTTCTTTTCGTTGTAGGGATCTCTAAGGTGGATAAATTAAAGTGTTAATGTCAAGGTTATACATTTTATGTGCTGGTAACATTTCTTATAGATTCTATGAAAAATTATAAGGTTGTTAAATTCTACAATTAATGTAATAATTGCCAGACACCAGTTTTTGGTGCAAGATTATTGTGTTTTAATTGATTTTATTTTAATAGGTCCTTTGGGGTTATTTATGTTAAAAAATCAATTCAATGCAAGTATTGAAACATTAACTGGGTACTTTGTTGGCTGAGCGTATGTAATTTAAGTCTACTGATCAGACTGTACTGTTGCTGATAACATTTGTAAAGGCGAGGAGCTGCTGTAAATACAAGATTTACATGTTCATCAAATATTTATCTGCTTCTTCTGTTTATAGTTTTAGAAATTGTTTGAAATATTTTTTTTTAACTTTATTCTCAAATTATTTATATATATATATATATATATATATATATATATATATATATATATATATATATATATATATATATATATATATATATATATATTTTTGTACTTGCATATCAATGTAAATATCATAGAAGTGCCTTTTACTGCTGCAATTAGAAAATCTCTTCCAATCATTGTTCAAGATTTTTTAATCAAATGTTAATGTCAGCCTATAATTGATTTGTTGCTAATGTATTTGATTGTGCTGTTTGTGTATGGTTGGTATATTTGATTACCTTGCTATATATGCTGTATTACCTGAATATATGTGTTGTTTATGTATGGTTTACAGTTTCTTTATTGTTGTGGTTTGTTTCTAATAATTGTAATACATAGATATATATTTTCCCTTTTTAGATGTGCATAGTTTTGATAAAAGTTGTATACAATTGTTGATTTACAATTTGAAATATAGCATATACATAAAAGTAAATAGCTTATTTTTTTTTATACAAATCAACAGCTTTATTTCTAAAGGCTTTAATTAAAATTATGGTAGATTCATTCACTAATCTGATTCATCACTACGTGTATTGCATGTGTTAGTAGATAAAGACAGAACTATCAAGGATTATGTTATTCTAACTGCTAGTTTTTGTATGTTTTATTTTTTATGTTATCCATAAAACTGCCATGTTTTATTTAAGTAATAATTATCTTATTTACAGTTTAATATATTATTTTATCATTTAAAATCTGATCAGTCCAACTTTTGTTATGCTATTATACACAGTATTTTAACAATATCATTAAAAATATAACTATTTATTGGTATGAATTTGATACATTGTTATGATCAAGCAAAATATTGAATTTTGATTAGAATAAATGATTACCAAATCTTGCATTATGGACTTCCAATATGTACTAGCTTAAGATTTGTAGAAATACATGCACTCTCCATCATTAAGGTTGGGTAGTCATGTGATTTAAATCACTTATCAAATGATTTGGAAGGTAAAGTTCTGTATGTAATTGTGACCAAGCCAAAACTTTTTTAATGTTTGAACATGGCAACACTTAAATGATTTTATAATTTTATTAAAAATTTACAATTAGTGCAGTAAAATGCAATGTATTTATTATCACAAAATTGTTAAACACAGAATACAATTAGATAGTTCAACTGATGGGGACACAGAATATAAGTAGATGGGGGACTCAGAATACAAAAAGAAAAAATATAGTTAAATTGATGGGGACTAAGAATACAAAAAGATTGTTAAACTGATGGAACACACAGAATACAAGTAGATGGGGGACTCAGAATACATAAAGAAAAAAGCTAGTTAAACTGGTGGGGGACATCCAGGCTCCATTTTGTTCATGAGCTGCTCAAACTCATAGACCACATCTTTGATTCCAGTTTTTTTGTCATGCTGCATTGTGTCCAGGTCCAGCCACATCCCTCCTGTGGCCAACACAATGTTGCTGTAGGTATCCTGCAGTACATTTAGTCTTTATGAGTTTGGAAAAATCTGAACATTGCACATGGAGTTTTTATTGCAAAAACAATATTTGGCTTCTTAATTCTATAGCATAATTGAATTTACATATGACTTAAGAAGCACATTTTTGGAAATTATAATAAAAATAACATTTTGTTGCAATTCTGGCCGGGTTTTTTTTTCCTTCTGCTGGTAAAATAGACATTTTTATAATGAAATATTTTTATGCATAAAAATTTAGAGAGAAATGGAAGACACTTGTAAAATTTTCTTTATAATAGTAACATGAAAGTTGGTTATTTTATTATTGATGTATGGCAAATTTATCTGAATAAATCTAAAGATGGGGTAAGAGTTTTCTATATAGGAAAATAAATCCTTAACTGCCTGTTTTAAACCTAGACTTACACCTGGTTTAAACTTCATCCTAAATGCTGCTGTTACTGATATCATCATCAACTTTTTGAGCCCCAGACACATGGGCAGCAAATGTGCTGGTGTATTTATGTGTTTATGTTACTATCTATGGCAATATATTCAGCATTATAATACATGGGTATATAAAAAAGGGATTTGTGTTGGAAGAAAGGTAGTTTACTATTAGATTCAGTTGGAGAAACAAGCCTAGGATAGCACAGCCTAGAAATCTCATATTGGTGACCTGTTTCATTGGAATGAATGGTAAACTACTACTTCTAAAACCATTTGAGCTGTGTGGTTCTCTCCAATGACCCTACAGGCTAACTGGCTAAAACTTACCACTGGAGCTGGGAATGTGTGGTTCTCTCCAATGACTACAGGCTAACTGGCTAAAACTTACCACTGGAGCTGGGAATGTGTGGTTCTCTCCAATGACCCTACAGGCTAACTGGCTAAAACTTACCACTGGGAATGTGTGGTTCTCTCCAATGACCCTACAGGCTAACTGGCTAAAACTTACCACTGGAGCTGGTTCTCTCCAATGACCCTACAGGCTAACTGGCTAAAACTTACCACTGGAGCTGGGAATGTGTGGTTCTCTCCAATGACTACAGGCTAACTGGCTAAAACTTACCACTGGGAATGTGTGGTTCTCTCCAATGACCCTACAGGCTAACTGGCTAAAACTTACCACTGGAGCTGGGAATGTGTGGTTCTCTCCAATGACTACAGGCTAACTGGCTAAAACTTACCACTGGGAATGTGTGGTTCTCTCCAATGACCCTACAGGCTAACTGGCTAAAACTTACCACTGGAGCTGGTTCTCTCCAATGACCCTACAGGCTAACTGGCTAAAACTTACCACTGGAGCTGGGAATGTGTGGTTCTCTCCAATGACTACAGGCTAACTGGCAAAAACTTACCACTGGAGCTGGGAATGTGTGGTTCTCTCCAATGACTACAGGCTAACTGGCTAAAACTTACCACTGGGAATGTGTGGTTCTCTCCAATGACTACAGGCTAACTGGCTAAAACTTACCACTGGGAATGTGTGGTTCTCTCCAATGACTACAGGCTAACTGGCTAAAACTTACCACTGGAGCTGGGAATGTGTGGTTCTCTCCAATGACTACAGGCTAACTGGCTAAAACTTACCACTGGGAATGTGTGGTTCTCTCCAATGACTCTACAGGCTAACTGGCTAAAACTTACCACTGGGAATGTGTGGTTCTCTCCAATGACTACAGGCTAACTGGCTAAAACTTACCACTGGGAATGTGTGGTTCTCTCCAATGACTACAGGCTAACTGGCTAAAACTTACCACTGGGAATGTGTGGTTCTCTCCAATGACCCTACAGGCTAACTGGCTAAAACTTACCACTGGAGCTGGGAATGTGTGGTTCTCTCCAATGACTACAGGCTAACTGGCTAAAACTTACCACTGGGAATGTGTGGTTCTCTCCAATGACCCTACAGGCTAACTGGCTAAAACTTACCACTGGAGCTGGGAATGTGTGGTTCTCTCCAATGACCCTACAGGCTAACTGGCTAAAACTTACCACTGGAGCTGGGAATGTGTGGTTCTCTCCAATGACTACAGGCTAACTGGCTAAAACTTACCACTGGGAATGTGTGGTTCTCTCCAATGACCCTACAGGCTAACTGGCTAAAACTTACCACTGGAGCTGGTTCTCTCCAATGACCCTACAGGCTAACTGGCTAAAACTTACCACTGGAGCTGGGAATGTGTGGTTCTCTCCAATGACTACAGGCTAACTGGCTAAAACTTACCACTGGAGCTGGGAATGTGTGGTTCTCTCCAATGACTACAGGCTAACTGGCTAAAACTTACCACTGGGAATGTGTGGTTCTCTCCAATGACTACAGGCTAACTGGCTAAAACTTACCACTGGGAATGTGTGGTTCTCTCCAATGACTACAGGCTAACTGGCTAAAACTTACCACTGGAGCTGGGAATGTGTGGTTCTCTCCAATGACTACAGGCTAACTGGCTAAAACTTACCACTGGGAATGTGTGGTTCTCTCCAATGACTCTACAGGCTAACTGGCTAAAACTTACCACTGGGAATGTGTGGTTCTCTCCAATGACTACAGGCTAACTGGCTAAAACTTACCACTGGGAATGTGTGGTTCTCTCCAATGACTACAGGCTAACTGGCTAAAACTTACCACTGGGAATGTGTGGTTCTCTCCAATGACCCTACAGGCTAACTGGCTAAAACTTACCACTGGAGCTGGGAATGTGTGGTTCTCTCCAATGACTACAGGCTAACTGGCTAAAACTTACCACTGGGAATGTGTGGTTCTCTCCAATGACCCTACAGGCTAACTGGCTAAAACTTACCACTGGAGCTGGGAATGTGTGGTTCTCTCCAATGACTCTACAGGTTAACTGGCTAAAACTTACCACTGGGAATGTGTGGTTCTCTCCAATGACTCTACAGGTTAACTGGCTAAAACTTACCACTGGGAATGTGTGGTTCTCTCCAATGACTACAGGCTAACTGGCTAAAACTTACCACTGGGAATGTGTGGTTCTCTCCAATGACCCTACAGGCTAACTGGCTAAAACTTACCACTGGAGCTGGTTCTCTCCAATGACCCTACAGGCTAACTGGCTAAAACTTACCACTGGAGCTGGGAATGTGTGGTTCTCTCCAATGACTACAGGCTAACTGGCTAAAACTTACCACTGGGAATGTGTGGTTCTCTCCAATGACTACAGGCTAACTGGCTAAAACTTACCACTGGAGCTGGGAATGTGTGGTTCTCTCCAATGACTACAGGCTAACTGGCTAAAACTTACCACTGGGAATGTGTGGTTCTCTCCAATGACTACAGGCTAACTGGCTAAAACTTACCACTGGAGCTGGGAATGTGTGGTTCTCTCCAATGACTCTACAGGTTAACTGGCTAAAACTTACCACTGGGAATGTGTGGTTCTCTCCAATGACTACAGGCTAACTGGCTAAAACTTACCACTGGGAATGTGTGGACTCTCCAATGACTCTACAGGCTAACTGGCTAAAACTTACCACTGGAGCTGGTTCTCTCCAATGACTACAGGCTAACTGGCTAAAACTTACCACTGGGAATGTGTGGTTCTCTCCAATGACTACAGGTTAACTGGCTAAAACTTACCACTGGGAATGTGTGGTTCTCTCCAATGACTCTACAGGTTAACTGGCTAAAACTTACCACTGGGAATGTGTGGTTCTCTCCAATGACTACAGGCTAACTGGCTAAAACTTACCACTGGAGCTGGGAATGTGTGGTTCTCTCCAATGACTCTACAGGTTAACTGGCTAAAACTTACCACTGGGAATGTGTGGTTCTCTCCAATGACTACAGGCTAACTGGCTAAAACTTACCACTGGAGCTGGGAATGTGTGGTTCTCTCCAATGACTCTACAGGTTAACTGGCTAAAACTTACCACTGGGAATGTGTGGTTCTCTCCAATGACTACAGGCTAACTGGCTAAAACTTACCACTGGGAATGTGTGGACTCTCCAATGACTCTACAGGCTAACTGGCTAAAACTTACCACTGGAGCTGGGAATGTGTGGTTCTCTCCAATGACTACAGGCTAACTGGCTAAAACTTACCACTGGAGCTGGGAATGTGTGGTTCTCTCCAATGACTACAGGCTAACTGGCTAAAACTTACCACTGGGAATGTGTGGTTCTCTCCAATGACTCTACAGGTTAACTGGCTAAAACTTACCACTGGGAATGTGTGGTTCTCTCCAATGACTACAGGCTAACTGGCTAAAACTTACCACTGGAGCTGGTTCTCTCCAATGACTACAGGCTAACTGGCTAAAACTTACCACTGGGAATGTGTGGTTCTCTCCAATGACTCTACAGGTTAACTGGCTAAAACTTACCACTGGGAATGTGTGGTTCTCTCCAATGACTACAGGCTAACTGGCTAAAACTTACCACTGGGAATGTGTGGTTCTCTCCAATGACTCTACAGGCTAACTGGCTAAAACTTACCACTGGAGCTGGGAATGTGTGGTTCTCTCCAATGACTACAGGCTAACTGGCTAAAACTTACCAATGGGAATGTGTGGTTCTCTCCAATGACTACAGGCGAACTGGCTAAAACTTACCACTGGAGCTGGGAATGTGTGGTTCTCTCCAATGACTCTACAGGTTAACTGGCTAAAACTTACCACTGGGAATGTGTGGTTCTCTCCAATGACTACAGGCTAACTGGCTAAAACTTACCACTGGGAATGTGTGGTTCTCTCCAATGACTACAGGCTAACTGGCTAAAACTTACCACTGGAGCTGGGAATGTGTGGTTCTCTCCAATGACTCTACAGGTTAACTGGCTAAAACTTACCACTGGGAATGTGTGGTTCTCTCCAATGACTACAGGTTAACTGGCTAAAACTTACCACTGGAGCTGGGAATGTGTGGTTCTCTCCAATGACTACAGGCTAACTGGCTAAAACTTACCACTGAAGCTGGGAATGTGTGGTTCTCTCCAATGACTCTACAGGTTAACTGGCTAAAACTTACCACTGGGAATGTGTGGTTCTCTCCAATGACTACAGGCTAACTGGCTAAAACTTACCACTGGGAATGTGTGGTTCTCTCCAATGACTCTACAGGTTAACTGGCTAAAACTTACCACTGGGAATGTGTGGTTCTCTCCAATGACTCTACAGGTTAACTGGCTAAAACTTACCACTGGGAATGTGTGGTTCTCTCCAATGACTACAGGCTAACTGGCTAAAACTTACCACTGGGAATGTGTGGTTCTCTCCAATGACTCTACAGGTTAACTGGCTAAAACTTACCACTGGGAATGTGTGGTTCTCTCCAATGACTACAGGCTAACTGGCTAAAACTTACCACTGGGAATGTGTGGTTCTCTCCAATGACTCTACAGGCTAACTGGCTAAAACTTACCACTGGAGCTGGGAATGTGTGGTTCTCTCCAATGACTACAGGCTAACTGGCTAAAACTTACCACTGGGAATGTGTGGTTCTCTCCAATGACTACAGGCGAACTGGCTAAAACTTACCACTGGAGCTGGGAATGTGTGGTTCTCTCCAATGACTCTACAGGTTAACTGGCTAAAACTTACCACTGGGAATGTGTGGTTCTCTCCAATGACTACAGGCTAACTGGCTAAAACTTACCACTGGGAATGTGTGGTTCTCTCCAATGACTACAGGCTAACTGGCTAAAACTTACCACTGGAGCTGGGAATGTGTGGTTCTCTCCAATGACTCTACAGGTTAACTGGCTAAAACTTACCACTGGGAATGTGTGGTTCTCTCCAATGACTACAGGTTAACTGGCTAAAACTTACCACTGGAGCTGGGAATGTGTGGTTCTCTCCAATGACTACAGGCTAACTGGCTAAAACTTACCACTGAAGCTGGGAATGTGTGGTTCTCTCCAATGACTCTACAGGTTAACTGGCTAAAACTTACCACTGGGAATGTGTGGTTCTCTCCAATGACTACAGGCTAACTGGCTAAAACTTACCACTGGGAATGTGTGGTTCTCTCCAATGACTCTACAGGTTAACTGGCTAAAACTTACCACTGGGAATGTGTGGTTCTCTCCAATGACTCTACAGGTTAACTGGCTAAAACTTACCACTGGGAATGTGTGGTTCTCTCCAATGACTACAGGCTAACTGGCTAAAACTTACCACTGGGAATGTGTGGTTCTCTCCAATGACTCTACAGGTTAACTGGCTAAAACTTACCACTGGGAATGTGTGGTTCTCTCCAATGACTACAGGTTAACTGGCTAAAACTTACCACTGGGAATGTGTGGACTCTCCAATGACTCTACAGGCTAACTGGCTAAAACTTACCACTGGAGCTGGTTCTCTCCAATGACTACAGGTTAACTGGCTAAAACTTACCACTGGGAATGTGTGGACTCTCCAATGACTCTACAGGCTAACTGGCTAAAACTTACCACTGGAGCTGGGAATGTCTGGTTCTCTCCAATGACTCTACCACCAGCTGAAACACCAACAATGTGGTTAGAGGACAGGTCCCTGTAGGTGGATGCTGACACAAAAGTGATGGATCTTTTCTGTAGAGTGCTTAAAACTGCTTGGTTGTCCACTGGAGCTGACTATTGAGAAAACAAAAAAAAACAGAACAATGAATCATCAAAATAAACAGTTTTATGTGTGGGGACAATAGAACCTGCAAAGAGGAAGTAAAATATTTAAGTGTAGGCCCTATTAGTTTTTGTTTTAAAAGTGTGCAATGCCAATTAAAAAAAGAAAAATATTTTTTTTTTAAAAGGAGTGAGTTAATTTTAATAATGTAAAGTTTCTAGCACACAGATATAAGGTTTCATCAGAGTTTCAAAAAGATATACTAGCTTAATAAAGAAAATATATTTAAAATTTAAGCCATCTTATTACAAAAGTTATTTTAAATCATAACATATAATGAAAGAGTATGAAATCAGAGAAACTAAGTAAGTTAGTCATATGTGTATACATTTGTTTTATAAAACAGCAACTAAAAGAATTGAAATTTCATTTCACATTTTAAAAAAAAAATTCTAGATGCAGGAGTAGGCCTATTAATTAGTAATAAACATTTAATTATTTTCAAATAAATTTAATTAAACTCCAAAAATAGCTTTAGAGCAGTGGTTCTTAACCTTTTTGAAAATACTGAACCCCACTAGTTTTATATTCAGCGAACACTTCTTTATAGTTCTATCATATGCAATGACAAAATCTGACGGTGAATCTTATAAGTCAGGTGTGTGTCTTGACCCCTGCCAAACCCCTAAGACTGTCTTACTGAACCCATGGGGTTCGATCAAACCCAGGATGAGAACCACTGCTTTAGAGGCCTGAAGATTAAGTTACCTCTTGTTTAGACAAGAGACAGATGACCTTAGTTGCGCCATCCCTGAAGGGATACTGACTGGCCATTAACAGAGCGGAGTCTGCTGAGGTTTGTGTCCAGCCCTGCCTCACCTTCAGTCTCATGAAGTGAGAGGACACTTTCACTGTGTCCATGATCCTGCAGGGGAGGTGACTGGGTTAAAGTTACTTCTTTAGACAAAACATACTTATAATTACTTATACAAATGTTTGTTTATAAACTGTATCTATTGAGAAGCAAAACAGTTAAGTTTTAAATAACTGATGAGAAAACAGAGAATTGTTTTTTTTTTCTATTCTGTTTCGCTGCCTGGTCATGATAAGTCACAATGTTTTTATTTTAAATTAAAATCTAAGATTTTTTTTATAATTGTAATTCCACTTGCTGTATCCTTCCCAGGCAGTGTTTCATTTAGATATTTTTCTCTGGGAGGAGGGAGGGGGAACTTAGAATTTTCAATGGAAGTGGCACAAAATTATAGGGGGCAGACACTCACACTGGATGCCAGCAAGAAACTCTGTTCCCATGGTTTTTATAATAATGTACATCTACATTTGTAAACCTTAAACCAAGAAATAATGGAGATTTTAAAATTATATTAACAAGAACCTTACTTTCCATTCCAAATATGAGATTTAGGATTTTGCCATTCTCCCTCTCCACCAAAAGTGACAATGCCAACTTTTAAATCCAAGTGAGTCATGTTTTTTAGTAACTGGCTTGGAATGAATTGCTTATGGAATGTTGAATGGTGCAGAGACATTACAAAAACAATATCCAATCCAGATTTCTTAAAACATTTGCCTGAAAAGATATTTATATCCTATATGAAATTCATTTTAATACTTACTTTTTTCTGGTTTTACAACATAATAATGAGAGTTAAAGTTTATATGATTCATTGACCTCTGCATATGAAGGGATAGTGTGGTCAGCACTATGCCCAGCCACCTTTGTTCCCTAAGTAAGTTAGGTACCCATCAGAGCTGGGTGGACTCGCAGATGTTCCACTTATTTGAACCCGGATTCGCACTCGAATAAGTCTTATAACTCTAAATTACTTTTTAAAATTTGAACTTAAAAAAAATTAAATATAAATATAATACAATTGGAGTGTCAAACAATGGAATTAATTTGGTTAGCTACTAAATGTAACATCAGTGAAAACAAGTCAGCAAGAAAATTAACAGAGCAGACATAGTATGGAATTAGTAGTTTAATGTCATATCACATGAGAATTATAATGGAGAAAATAAAACTAAAACTTACAAGTCTGTGGCAAGCTGATCTGGATTCCTTTATACAGGCATGCAGTAACATAAGCATTTATTATGCTACACCCAGATTTACCTTGACAAATAGCTGTATGACACTGAAGCTGGAATTAATTAATTAAGAAAAAATTAATTGTACACTTAACTGCTTTTCACTTGTATATAACAAAATGGGACAGCGTGGTCTAGCGGAAGAGCGCTAGACTACTAACCCGAAAGTCTCAAGTTTAAATCTAGGTTTAAGTCAGTGGAATGTTCCTGAGTCCAGCCAGCTCTGATCGGTAACTGACTCATGTTAGGGAAAGTGCAGACAGCTGGGCATAGTGCTGACCAAATTATCCTTTTGTTTGCCAATGTGAAAAAACATCTGCCCAATGGATTGTTAGGATCAAAGAGGAATCTTTACTTCTTTACATAACAAAAACTCACAAGAAATGGTTGTGGGTCCAGAGCCGTGAAACATGGCATGAAAGTTGAATTTAGATCAGTGAGACTTTGACAAATATTTTCAGCAGACCCATTACAAATTGTTGAGGTCTGAGAGCTGTTGATGGTACATTTTTCATTCTGTGTCAGTTCATAACTGTTCTGTAAGCTGATCACATCTTCAGCCATACTTCCGTTGTACAAAACAAAATCGTCGCCTATTTCTTTATTGTTGGTGCCTGTGTTCAACAACATATTAAGTAGGAGAAGTCACTCATAAACATTATGTTGTTGGCTATATCAGCATTTTTTTAAATGTAATTTTTTTTAAGCAGAAAGCTATTGCAGATTATTGTTATTATCTTAACAGTATTCAAACATTTTAAGAAAATATAACAAACTTTACCCATCAAACCCAATGAAGCATTGTTTAGAATTCTGTCCAATGTGATAATGTAAAAATCATGGTTTAGATTGAAAACCACTTTAGCTAGTCCAGACCTAAGTGTTAGGTGGAGCTCTCCATCATGTAAAGCAAGAGAAATCTGACCATCGGAATCCGTGTAAGGAATATGACTAAAATGCACAAAAATAACCATTTAATATATAAAACATCTTAAACTGACATAATAAATACTTTTGACTTACAAAAGATAATACTGACTAAAACATCTTAAATAGACATATTAAATACTTTTGATTTACAAAAGAGAATACTGACTTGATAACTTCATGACCTATGGAAGCAATAGTACCATCCCTGGCTAGAGTGATGCCATATTTTCTTGTTAATGCAGTTAAACCATCTTTAGTGTACAGTAACCCAAACTGGCCATGTCTGAAATCTGCTCCAAGTAAATATGTACAGCTTGTGTGTGGAGGACCTGATGAAAGCAATTTTGATTTCCATATTTGAAGATCAATGTATAAACTTGACCTTATTTTAAACAATCCTTTTAAGCAATAAAGTACTAGATTACCTTGTATATCATAAACATTGCCATCAAACGTTTTGATTCTGTATCCATCCATAATAACACCAACATCCTTTTTTACTTTGCGATCCATCACTCCTTGTATTTCTTTTTTTATCATCACTATATTTGGTTTCCCTTGTGTGCTCTTTTTGTTAACAAAACAATCAGAATTTCATATCATGCCATTTTTCTATTTTAATTTGTTTTGGACTCAAAAATATTTACATGTACAGTATTGAAAGGTCCAGCCTTATGTATATGAAATGACAGTTTATAACTGGAATAGCTTAACTGTTATCCCTGCAAATAAATCCTCAGATTGATATAACTCAGGTTTATCTTTACAAACTTCTACATACAATGTAGTATGTATCTTAGGCCAGAATTATTTGTTATAGTTTTAAACTTGAAAAACTTACTGAAAACAATGGTGAAACAAAGTACAGTGGAGCAGAGAATGTGATATTTTTAGTTGTCCTGACTGTCTGTAGAGTTGGGTAAACATAGGCCTTTGCAAACTGGCGAGCGAAGTAGGGCGGGTGTAGAGTTAACTGGGACAACATCTTTGAGAGTGTGACTGCAGCAGAAGCTAGGCCTTCATCAACTTGGCTTGATTTGATGAATTGAACTGTGTTTATTGTAGCAAAATGGGTTGTTGTTTTTTTGTAATGGCAATGTAACAACAATGTTTATAAAAACTGTATTTATTAGGTTATTTAAAAAAAACTTTTTTTTTAATTTGCTGACTGTAATATCCATTATTTTTTTTTGTAAATTTTTTTTTTAAACACTAGAAATTCATTTCATTAATAATTAGGGATTTAAAAAGATATTATTGCAAGTTTGAGTTGTTCCATGTTAAAGCCTTTGTTCCCATGATAACAACAGATGTAGACAACAATAAGGAAGAATATAATTTTATACTTCAAGCCTGCCAATTTTTACCTGAAGGTAAGTTTGACCAAATCTTATTCAAGCTATCTACCAACCCAAGGCCTAGCTTGCACAGTGGAGGCATGCCTGTTCTTGATGCACAATGAAGCTTGGTTTTTACAAGGCCTTCAAAGCTCTGAAAAAAATTATCAGTATTTAATTTCACCTGTATGTTTTTAATCCTTCTTTCCTTAACCACTTTATGCATGGGGATGAAATTTCTATTACTGTTTTCATTTCGTAACTTTAAAATAACATACCACAGTATTTTAAAGATTTGTAGGCTTTAAATAAGAGGGTGCAAGCTATTATCAGCAGTATAAAAACATTGGAAATTTTAAAGAATAAGAAAATGTCACAAGGGATTGCGTAGGCCTACTTTACACATAGATAGAGACAGAGGGTGTGTTGTGATGCATATTCTGTGAGTACAAATTGGTGCGAACACAGTTTTTTCGATACTATATAATATACTGACAATGTTAGTACTTTGAATTTTAAAAAATAAAGAAATAAGTATCCTGTCTGGTATATTTGAGTGAAATGCCCACTATAATGGTATGGAAAGGTGAAGCCCTCTCACAGCAGTCTTAACAGGGTGGCTTATCATCTGTTGTATTGTATGATGTAAAGTGATGCAGAGCATATAACACTGCATTTAAATAACTTTTTCCTTATTTCTTCTGAAAAATTCTGCTATGTAGAATGGATGGATGAGTGTGTTGACAGCACTGGCTTACTCTTTTGTTCTTTGAATCATAAAATACCACACTGCATTTGTTTCCTATGAAGATTTTATATGATGATAGGCCTATATAATTTTTTCTAAAGTCATGTTTTTGTGGATAGTTGTAGCAGTATCAAATGGTATCTTGGCCATAGTGGGTGGTTTTAAGAAGTGTAACATAGGGTAGTGGTCTATAAAAATAAAATAATATAAAAAATTATGTCTGATTGGACTTTGTCCAAAAAAAGTCATTTTTAAAAATTGTTATATTATATGTGCATTATCCCTTACAATGTAAATTTACTGATGAAAATGCTCTTGGAGTTAAGGGAGGGTCACCCAACTGTAATAAACTAATGTAAAAAGTGTTGGAGAATTGCTTTTACAAGTTTGCATTTTGATCTTATAACTGTTACGGGTGAGTCTGTTTACCTGATTTATAAAAGGTATGATTTTGTCCTTGAACTCTGCCCTTATGTTATAAGCTAACATCTGACCTAAATAGGTGACATCAGTGCTGAGTTTTCTGAGCAGCAACTCTTCAACCTGGTGACTTTGCTGTAGAATCTGGTCAGACAAATGTAGGGCAAGGGTCAAAGTTTGACCCCCAGTCACCTCCACAGTGCCAGTTAAAAGGTTATTTGTTTCAGTCAAGTTTCCGTCAGGCTGGGGATGAAATAAGGCTGGCTCTGAACAGTGCAATGGTTTCTCTTCAGAATTAGTCATAGTATTGAATGCTTAAGTTCTAGACTGAAATATACATAAATTAAAAAAAACTATTGCAACAGCCAATAGAGAAAGACATCTCCGTAAATGGGGATGGATCAGACACAAATTAAGAAGAGAAAAAGAAAACATCGCAAAACAAACTATGGACTGGAATCCCCAGGGAAAAAGGCTGGTGGACCGGCCAAGGAAAACAAGGAGAAGAACAGTTGAAGAAGAGGTGAAAACAGCTGGGCTCACATGGGCACAGATTAATGAGCAGCCCAAAACCGAGTCCGCTGGAAATGTGTGGTTGCAGCCCTTTGCTCCCCAGGGGCCACAAAGGAATGATGATTATGATGATGAATGATAATAGAATAATTATAGACTGAAATGCATTTGAATAGAAATCTACTGAAACATAAGTTATAGATTGAAATATAGATGAATAAAAACAGCTACTGATGTTTAAGTTATAGATGGAAATATATATGAATAAGAAAATTACTGACACTTAAGTTATAGGATGAGTTATATGCTGCATGAATAAAAAACATAATGTTATCAAAAATATTTTTTAATTGCTAGAAAAATGTTTTAGTTTGCTTTTTTTTAGAATAGTACATATTTTAAGAAACAAGTAAGCTAAAGCTAAATATAAATCTACGGTATCTTTAACTTGCAAAATATATACGATATATTACATTTTAAAGTTTTTATTTTTTTTCTTAATGTCTATTGACAATTCTTAAGATAAAAAGAATTTATAATAAATGAAGTTTTACTGTAAAACTAAAAGTGACATCTAAAAATGCTCTTACTGATACTGCCTTCATTTCAACCTGTACTTTTGTAGGTCTCATTACAGTAAATTGTAGTTGGAATCCAGAATCATCACTGTACAGGAGTGTTAGAGCAAATTTTGGAGGCTGATTTTTTTTCAAACTAACTGAGGCTGCCAACTTGATATTTCCAAGCAATGATAGACTCTTAAATTTGGTAATTAAATTAATTAATGATAATAGAATAATTTACATATTAAAATACATAGAAATACACCAATTATAATAAATAAATAAAAAAGCTATAAGCCTTTGAAATAAGTTATTAATCATTTTATTAAAAATTCAACTATCAACACTTTCAACAAGTAAATAATGTTGCATACAAAAAACACTGGTGTATTTTCGATGAGCATAAGCTGTTATATTCTTTTTGTAAAAAAAACTAAATATTTCACAATTTTCACAATGATCTTAACTTTTATTTATTAAGCGGAAACTCTAAATTAAAAACAATAATACAGAAAACAGAATACAAAAAGGAACAAATTTTTGTAAATTTTTCAACAAGTGTTCTCTACTATATGCCAGCTGACCAAATCCCTCATCACACATATGACTAACAAAACTAACTCTGATCCATCATTCATAATAAACTTTTATAGTGTGTAAAAATGTAAATCTCAACAATTTGTTACCTTTCCTTCCACGATTACATCCCCTAAAATCTTCATACCATTGACATCATTGTGCTTCTTGAGAAGAATCAAATAGTTCACAAATGTGTTGCTCATGTTCATTTTTGTTATCAGGTCAGTGCTATTAACATCACTGGACTCTAAAATTATAACAATAACAACAAATATCTTTTGACTTACATAAAAAACTAAAACAAAATATTAAACTGTTACTTTTAATTTTTTTAATTTTACAAAATGAACGTAAAGACATTTTTTTTTAAATTTAAAACTTATAGTAATAAAAAGTGCACAGTGTTTAAATTTACAAATGAAGTGACTGCACTCATAGTTTTAGAAATGTTCAACTTACCGTGATATATTAAATCAAAGTTAGGAATATTAGAGTGCAACAAAGCATGAGCACGTACAATATGATTGAACTCAGAAACCTTGGTGTAGTTTATATGATGTGTAAAGTTGGTTCTGGGTGACTTGAGTAAAACATCATACTCAAAATGCTGGTAGTGCTCAAAATCTAGACGAAAGTTGAAAGACCTGTCCAGGGTATGATCCCGTCTTTCTATCAGGGTCCAGTTGTGCTGGTGATAAATCACCTTTGGAGTGATCATGTGATCTACATGCCAGTTAAAGTTCAAATCATATATGTTGTCTGATATGAAGCCACTTATCCACTTTCTGTTGTTGAAAAAAATTTGTTAGATCAGTATTTACCATAAATGGCAGTCACACTTCTTGTTTTATTTTAACCATTTTATTAAAAGATTAGAGCAAACTTATTAGAAATTGGATGCTTAAAACAATTCTTATTTACTCAATATATTTCTGTGCATTCAACTTTTTAAAATTTATCTTTAACAATGAGAAGAAAAAAATGAGTATTGAGGTGGGGGTTTTTAAAATTGTAATTAATGAGTAACATTATTGAACACAAATTACCTCTGCCCCATGAACACAGTTCCATTTGTGAGCAGTTGAGTGTCCCCATCTCTAGGAGCCTTGACTTCACCCAACCACTGAAACTCTAGTCCAGCTATCTTTCCTCCTACTTTGTAAAATTGCTTTTTCACCTCAAAATCAATGCCTAAACTCCATTTGGGTGAAAACCAGAATGGAACCTGAATATTTATATATTAAAATGTAAAAGTTACACCAAGGAATTGTAAAGCAATTAAGATCATAATTATTTTAAATGACAATTTTCAAAAATTAGTTTTGAAAATTGTATTAAATTATAGGTATGAGATTTGCTTCCAATAAAGATTTTTAAAAATATTTAGTCATTATACACTGACCTCTTTTTATTTTTTAAATCAGAAAGGATATTTGATGAAACACATTATTTTACTACAGCCACTACATATAAATAATAATTGAGTGGTCCTACACTATAAAAACTGTTCACTACCTTCTTTTTGTTATGAAGTTTATTGGTCTCTGATGTTGTTATTTTATTATGTTCATTGCTCCCAAAGGGTTTTTCTATTTTGCTTAATTTTTGAGTCTGTGAAACAAGTTGCTAAAAAAATTAAATTGTTGCACAAAATGGTCAACCAAATCAAACCTAACTTAATTCTAATTATACTAAGGTTTTTGAATTTTTAGATAACAGTTCTATTTTAAGCATTACTTATAATATTAAACTTAAATCTTAAAACACAAAAAACTTACATTCTTTTTTTGGCATCTTTTATCTAAACATTCATAGATGATGTCACAATGAATCAACAAGTTTTTTAATGGCTTAGGCTCTGATTCCATGACCTGACCATGCAACAGCACATCAAACTTTTCTTTGTTAACAAGATGAAGACTATAGTTGTATTTCATGTGGCCTGGGCTTGACACATTGGAAACATGGGAGTACATTTGGTAGAAGTCCTTAAGAAATGAAATAAAATTATATTTTATGATTAGTCTTTTTGTTAATTTTAAAGTCAACCATTAGAATGATGAAAAAAAATCTGTTTGTGAAACTGATTATGTACAATAAGTAAATAAAATATAAAAATTCATCTGTAAAGAACAATTACTATTTTTTTAAACAAAGTAAAAGCAGTACAAAGACTCAGTTGTAGAATAACTGTTTAAATAGATAGGTAAATTTAATGTTTAATATTTAGATTATAAAACTAATTAAAATACAAGTGGTATGTTTAACCATACCTGTTTGTCCCTATGAGTCCATGTCACATTGGTAAATCTATCAGCTGCTTTTGTGTCTGCAATCATTTCTGTTGTTTGTGTTATGTTGTGATCTAAAGCAGAAAGTATGAAATATGCTTATATATTTTTAATCTACAGAATACTTTTCTTTAAAAATATGTACAGAAATTTTAAAATAGACACAATTATTTCATCAGACTATTGTTATTTTAACTGTGTGCTGAAACTGCCAAAAGTAATTAAAACTGCTTGCTTAACCTGGCAATAATAAGATGCTTTTGAAGAAGGCTTTCCAGGTTTTTTCCAAAGGTGTTTGAGAGTCACTCATCTCTAAATGTAATGAAAATGCTGATGTGTGGTCACTGACTTCAGCAGTTTGAGGAGAAGGGTGTAGCTGGTAAAATAGCCTGAGTATTGGCTCACTTTAAATGAATGAAACAATAAAAAAAAATGTGTTTCACAAAAAAAGTTCAAAGTAATTTCTAAAAATTTATTTTTCTGATTTTAAAAACAATTATTTACAAAGAATAATAATAATTGCTTAGGGAATTTAAATATATTAATATATTAATAATTAGATTATAGGATAATCTAAAAAATAATATTTATGTTTTACCAATAATATTTCAAGACTATATCCTTAACATGGTTTGTAGGAATGGGTATGCTATCTATCACTTTGAAATCCACAGACAAAACTCCTAGACTAACATTAAGATGGAATGTTTGCTCAATTTCTTGAAAAACCACCGTATTATTAAACTGCAATATCCCATTCTTTATCCTGTGATATCCAAATTTCTGTTTAGAATATACATGCTTTATTAATAAAATACAGAATAGCATGTATACAAAATTATCATTTCAGAGTAGATTATTTTAGTTTTAAGACAATGTTTAACTAAAATGAAAATAAGAATAGGTAATAATTACCTCAAATATTAGAGAGTTCAATGTTTTGCTTTCCTGTCTCAGCACAGAGGCCAGAGTATAATTATAATGTGAGCCATTGTTAAAACGGTTGTATCCAAACATATAACTGATGGAAGCATCCGGTACCTGACAAGTCAGATCTATGGCACCAGTCAGATCATCTGTCTTAATCTCAATGTTAATTTGTCGGGATAAATCTTTACCTGTAAAACGCAACAAATAACTTCAAAGGGGCAGTTAAATTATCTTAAATAAATAATACATAATTAACTCACTTGTTTTGTATTGTTTATTTTGAAATACAGGTCTTCTAGCAATATTATGTAGGAGCAACATTATTTAACCATTACATTCATAGCATGAGTTATCTAACCTGATCCATCCAGTTTCATAAAAATATGATGACCAGTTCTCTTATACCATTGGACTTGAAGTGAATACATCTTCAGATTTCTGACAATCATTTTAAAAAAACAAAGAGATTAAATCGATGTTTATATGTCAATATTTGTAACACGGCTTAAAAATCATTTTTTTTATATTGAAAAGAGTAATAAATTTTATATGTTGATTCATAAAATCAAGTTATTAAATTTTTATAAAACTTACTCATCGTCTGGTAAAAGAGTTCCCTCGAACCTAAAAGAGTTCAGAATATCAAATGGAAAACCATCACTGTTGGGAGCAGCATGGTAATTTGACAGACCACAAAGACTTCTTCCAGTAATTGTTGCATAAATTTCGGGAAGACATTTTACATATTTATGTTCTTTCTCTGGGACATTTATTTTTGCCTCATAGTCATTGTGTAGAAGGTAGATATCACTCCTGGGAAAAAAAGAATGAAATAAATTTTTAAATTCATTTGTACAAAAAGCAATTTCAAAACAAATTTATTGTTGGCCAAAAACTAGTTTAATTTGTATAAAAATGGTTTTACCTAATTTTTACAAAAGTAAACTGTTGTTTTGCAACTTTCCACAGTATATCCAGATTATGTTCCCAATCCAATTTCTGATTGAGAAATTGTGAATATTTATAAATGATGGACCAGTCAATGATGAAAAAACCAGAAGTCTTCATTGCAAGCCTTGATTGGATATACCTGTCAATTGATATCTGCATGCTCCCTTGGAAATAGGCTGAGGCACTTTAAAAAGAATGATACATTTTTGTTGATAAAATAGAAAAATAAACACACAAATCAATACAAATATAAAAACTATATTTTAAAATAATTTGATCCTGTCAATATTTATTACTTTACCTTGGTTTTATTATAGAAGCAGAATCTTTATGGGCATGGTCATTGGTTTTCATGTTTAAAACCATTTTGGTAAGAACAGAAGAATCAATATCAGTGTGTAGTGTGTATCCTGAGAGAGTGGGTAATAACTGTTGATAGACCAAATGTTAATGGGCTTTTATTTTACCTATTCAATGTTACTTTTAAAAACATAACTTAAATATTCAGAGGCATTAAAAAATGGATGTGAAAATTAGAAATATAAATTTTTTACTAATTACTTTTAAAACAGAAATGATATGTTAAAGAAGCTATTAATAAAGAAACTTGCATTATTGAAATATTATTGTCTTTTATTCATTATTTATTCACCCTTTAAAGGTTTTGATTCAGAAGTCTTGAAAAATAAACTAAGAAACACTGTGCTACTGTTTAAATATTTACATGTAATATTATTGTCTTTTATTCATTATTTATTGACCCTTTAATGGCTTTGATTCATAAGTCTTGAAAAATAAACTAGGAAAAACTGCTACTGCGTAAATATTTATTTGTTATACAAAGCTTGCTCACCTTATGATAATCAAAAAGTGTGAAAGCTCGTAGCAGAAATTGTGTTCCACCAGCTAGTATGTTACTTACACTCCCATACATGTTATTCTTCTTCATCTGATGCATAAAGTTTAACACGGAGTTTGAAGAAATAGTTCCCATTTCATAACCTGATAATATATGCTCCATAAAATTTGACAGAATTCATTTATTATGGTTTGTACTGTGTTTTTGAGCTAATCTAAATTTTTAATAATTGCATCATTCTAGATCTTAGTGGTAATATCAGTACAACAGTATGTTTATGTTCAAAAGTAGGCTTAAATAATGAATTCAAAACTTATTTTTATAACTTACCTTTAAACTTATATGAGATAAAAACATGCGGGAACGTGTTCTTTTTAATGTTGACCACTTGAAAAATGTGGTTAAGTGTTTCTTTAATTTTGTGACTGAAACTTGCCAAGTTAGGCATTTCTGATTTGGCTCCAGATTTAATGAACTTGGCCAAAATGTTAAAAGCCTCCATAAAGGAATTATGGCGTCCATTCTCTCCTATTTTAGTCATAAGTTCAAGAACCCCATCAATCCCTAAGTATAATTCAATTAAAAAATAATTTTAGTCCATTGGATTTGTTATAAATGATGTCATAATTTAGCAATAGATTTCTTTAATTAATAACAGAGTGGAAAAAAATTCAAAGAAAAATGTAAAGCTCTGTTAATAAATAAACAAACAGAACAGACTTTTCAAAAATTCAAAATCATTTTTAACATGCCATTAGGCTTTAACAATAAATTTAATAAATAATCATTCAAAACAACTTACAAACCTTCAAGGTCTACAGTAATTTCAACAAGTTTGACAAGCTTGTCATCAAGAAACCAATCGACACTGATAGTGAGACTTTGTATCAAGTTGCTGGAAGGCGTGTAGATAAAATTTAGAGCTAGGGATCCTCCAATTTCCAATGATGTTAAGGGTACTGTAAAATTGATTGAATGTTCAGAGTAATGGGACTTGGATAGTATATTTTCATCAAAATCTGGTAGAACTCTGTTTTCTAGGGCCCTCTTCATTGCTTCCTGTAACCTATTTCAAACAGGTTATTTTTATTAAAAATCATTAAACCAATTTTGGAATAATATTATTAATTTACATATTTTGAAGAGGTTTAAGAAATTACTGTAAGGTGATGTTTTTTATAAAATATTTTTTTAGAAAGTATAAAATCTGAAAGAGCACTTACTTTTTTTCTTTTGGATCTAAGCTGCCCAATATGTTGTAAATTCTGGATACAATATAAGACTGCATATTTTCAATTTTAGTCCTGTCGAGCACACTAAGTAGCTCATTCAACAACACTTCATCAGGAGGTGACAACAGAACATCAAAAATAGCAGCTCTAAGAACCAAGGGCTTTTGGTCATCATTCAGGATACCAAACAGCTTATACCATACAGTAGATTTGATTCCAATGGTACTAAGTGCCTTCATAAAAAAATATATAATTTTATGTTAAAAAAAATTATAATTTGATATTACAGTTAAATAGAAATATGAACAACTCACTTTTATTGCAGCTCTGGATATAGTTACATGATGCTGCTTGTTTTTTAGACATTGCAGCAAAGACGAATCAAGACTTTTGTCTTCCTCCAAGTATCTGTTATATACTTTTTCCACATGCATTCCTATGTTGGTTATAGCCTAAAAATGTGAATACCTTAAGTAAATAACTTTAAAATATTTGCGTAAACACATTCAGAAAGAAAATTAGCTTTCCTTTAAATAATATATTATGTAAATAAATTAAGTATACATATTTGCATATGTACAGTTTGCAATACTAAAATGTGTATTTAATTTAGTGTTTGTAGTACCTTAAGAGTAATTAACAGCTGATCACTCCTTCTAGCACTTTCATGTGGAGATAATTTCAGTCTGCTTATCTGGCAAGACCTGTCAAGCATTTGATGAAGTGTTTTTGTTGTTTCATGCAACACTTTCCCAATCTAGACATTTTTATAAATGAGAACATTTCTCAAAGACTTTTATGTCATAGCAACACATTTTTCAATGTATTTTATTGGTAATTGTAATATATAGGCTATATATAAATATATATATATATATATATATATATATATATATATATATATATATATATATATATAATATTTTCAGTCAAATAGTTCTATGCTTGTTGATCTAAAACTATTAGGAAATTGATTTTGTTTTGATCTAGGAGATTTTAACCTCATTTTTATCAAGTGATCATCACAAATTACATTCACAAACACTGTGATGTGAATTACCTCTTGTTTTCTACTGCTCCTTTCTGTGGTATCGTTTAGTCGACTTATCATAGCTGATAAAGACAGCCAGCAGTCTGGCTTGCTATTTTCTTTACAGTAATTCTAAAAAATAGTAAACTTGATTAGATTATGTTATGAAAACAGTAGGCGACACAATTGCTGATACAAGGTTTGCTATTTTTCCATGGTAAATCTCGGTGCACCAGTTGGGCAGTATCAGGATGTTACAAATGAAAAGGGGGTAGTCCATTCAAGACAACATGCTTCTTTTGTATCACTATACGCCTACAACCAATCATCACAGTCAGCCAATTCATCCCTCCCCCCTCTACTAACTTTATTCTGACCCCCACACCTTGCAATAATTTTTTTTTAAAACCACCATCTTCCCCTTACAAAACTTTCCACCTTCACACATTTATTGCAAATCTGGCCCATCCCTCACCTCTCCACACACTCAATAGTGTGACATAATTGACTGATGTTCCATAAATGAATCTGTTCCAATAAAAGATTTCTCAAGTTGAAAGGTCAAAAGGGACATAAACAAAATGGTTGCAATATTTGCTTGTTGTAAAAAACATTTTTAGTACCTGAGCAATTTAAATTACAATAACCAATATAACAAACTACTTACCAGCATGATGTTAGCAAATTTAGCAGAAGGGTCATAAAATAAGCCTATGTTAAATAAAACACTTTGCGCCTCAGTTTCGTCAATTTGGTGATCCCTAAAACATTCAGCTAGAACAATGAGGCATGCATCTGTACCACAAGACATCAAGCCATTTGTGAACACCCGTTCCTTTATAGACTGAAAATTGTAAATTATTACTCTATAACTTTTTAGCGCAATTTCCATTCTGGAGAATTGCGTTTATTAACTCGTCATTTCTGGGAATGGATGGATGAATGAATGAATGTATGGATGAATGTGTGTCCGGGCTTTAAGTCGTATCTCCTCCTCAACGAAGCAATATCGATGACTAGTTCCAAAAGCAATTATGTTAAGCAAGTTACGAGAATGAGCATAGGCCATAAAAATTCCGGGTTTCTTTCATGTATTTCCCGGAAAAGCCAAAAAAACTTGGAAAAATTCAGTTTTTGGCCCATATCTCGGCAACCAGACCACTTAGCGACTTGAAACATGTACCAATCGATTCCTGCCATAATTTAGAACAATATTGCCGAAGAAAGTTTTCAAAAATATCCTCTCGTTCGGTCACAAATTTTAAAATTACATAAACACCTACAAACCGATCGTTCTTCTAGCTTGAACGCACCCCAGCATTATAAGTCAGAGCTATTTTTAGATAACATAAGGAAATTGCGCATAAATGTCACTAGACTTTTTAATTAACTTGTTTATAAGTAGTAACAAAGGTAAAGTTTTTATTTTCATAAAATTATTTTTATACCTGCAGTTATAAAATTTTTAAAAAGTTTACCTGCCACATTTTTGGTTCAACTGTATGTGACATATCATTAGGACAGAGAGAGGAATGTCTGCATTCAAAAATGGCATCCTTAATGGCATGGATTTCTTGCTCCTTGGTTTCTCTCATTATATGGATTAGTTTTCTAAAACTGAACATAGGTTACATTTAGATTAGATTAGTTTTAACTTTATAGCTTTAAAACAGCTTTTCATTTGCCAAACTGAAATGGATTTTAAATTTTTTAATATGATAATATTTTTGTAACACTTCAAATCAAGTCAAAATGTTTCTAAAACCTTATCCTGTTTATTTTTTATTTTTTTAGCAATGACTAATATATTTTTAGAAAATTGATATCTTTTTTTAAAAATTAAATAATGTGCCTCTGTAAAAAATAAATGATTAAAATCTAGATACTTAAATTTTACTTTAAAAAGGTAACATAGAATTAGATCTAACCATAATGCAATAGTTAACCAATGAAGTGTTTACTTTTGAGCAGAATCTGGTTTCACTTTGTCATCTTGGCCTTGGGACAGGTAGTAAGAGATGGTTAACTCAAGCTCTCTCTCAATGTCCTGACCAGTGCGAGATACTCTGCCAGTGTCAAACTCCATGGCCAGATCCACTGTGCGGCTGTCCTCTACTACTGACCCATCATCTACTACTGACCCATCATCTACGACTGACCCATCATGTGTCTGAGACTTAAGCTTTGATCTGGACACTAGCTTCATATATTGGCTGAAGAAATATTATTTAAAACATTGCATTGTTTTTATATATATATATTTCACCAACTTCATTTCCTTAACCCTTTGAGCCCTGGCCTCCCTTGCCTAGTTTCTCCCATTTCCTGAGCTTTCAGGGCCAAACCAACTTTCACTTATCTGCTTCTAACTTTGCCTATAACTTTTGAACAGTTTGAGATAATCAAGCCAAATTTGATGTCCAGACTCAGGATCAAACAACAATGCACAAAGATTCTGAAATTTTTTCTTTTTTTACAATGTATGAACAGAACAATGTATATAAAACAAACACATAATTATTATCAACACGCCAAGGAGACTGAAGTTTTAAGCACCACGTGCATCAGAACGTACTTGAACAGTTTCATTGTCACTGTCAATTTCAATGTCACTGTTCAGTCTAAAAATTCAACGCTATATGATCACAATATAGACCAGGAATATTATCTTCTTCATCAGAAACATTGATTAAGTAGTTGTATTGCCTGAAATGCAGTCATTCTACTTCTTTTGTTGATATTTTGGTCTTTTGCTTCATCTTTTGCACCAACTTTATGTGCTGAAGTCGATGGCTGTGGTTCAGCTTTTCGTTTCGGCGGCATTGTAAACGAAATGTAAACACTTTCACTTTCACTTTTCCTAATATCTATTTTTAGAATCATAATCGCGCACCAAAAAGAAATATGCGCAATTTTAGTCAGTCTTCCGCTAATTATATTTAATTACTAATTAGACGGTATACCAGCCGCTAGGAATATCACGCTAGATCAGGGGTCTCCAAACTACGGCCCGCAGGCCGCATCCGGCCCCCGGAGATCTTTTTGTCCACGGAAAAACGTTTGTTGGTGATGGCTGAGGAACTTTGCCCAGAAAATCAGAGACATGCCTAGAAGAAACTGGCCCCCGAACTGAAATTTAATAGTTAATGCGGCCCTCGGACTGAAAAGTTTGGAGACCCCTGCGCTAGATCATCGGGCCGGAAAACCGGCTTTTCGGACATATATGCCTATTGTTGAAGCCGGTTTACCGGGCTGGCGGGCTCAAAGGGTTAATATAAAACAGTAACTTGTAAATCTACATAACAAATTTAAAGCATAATACAGATATTTTACTTATTTTAACTATTTAAGTTGTAATTAAGGAACATTTTAGAATTTGAAAAACAGTATTTGTTGTGTATCAACGACTAATAGTCAACTGGTTCTTTTGGGGGTCAGAGGTCATGCCTACCCATGTTTTATGTGTACATGCTATAAAAGTGGATGCTCAGGAATATTCTATTATTGTAGATCTAACTGGTTGAAGTATTTACACTTCTGACCTTAAGCACTATAAGTGAGTAATTCAGTAGACTCTGATCCCGTCTAGCTAAAACTGGTGTCTTTTCTAGGATTACATCATGTCTCTGCATCTAACTTTGATGTTGAAACAATACTGTATGTCAACATTTCTATTATAAGAGTCTTGACTTTACCTAATAGTGGCCATTGCAGCCCCATGCCCCTTATCATCACTGGACAGAGGAGAGTATGATTGTTTCTGCTTGCAGTATGCTGTCTTAAACATATTGTGGGTAGTGAAGGAATACTGACAGTTCACGCTTGATTCAAATGGATATGACCGCTGTTTTATTTCAGTTATAAAAAAACATTCACAGTTGTGATTCAATTTTTTGAAATTGAAAATATCAATAAATAAAAGTTTATTATATTTTTAGCTTTGTATTGAATTTAGATAGATCTAGTAAAACTAAATAATTCATTTTAAAAATTCAGCAGCAAGAAAGATTTGTTACAAAAATTGTCTATATATATATAAAAAAAAGTCTTGCCTCTGTGATGGGAGATAATGAATATCCTCCCTTGAGAGTTTTTATGAATGAAAGAAACTCAGATTGTTTGCTGTCTACATGGCTTAAGTTGCATGTAACAAGATCCCTATGTGAGACCACCTCCTGCCTTTTGTTCTCCAAGAACTTGACATCTGTCTTGCATGAGCCTAGCACATCATGCTAAAATTTGAATAGAAATGCATCAATAATTAATTTACAGAGGTGTTGTAGGTTTGTTTTTTTTTTCCTAAAATTTTAAGCATTTTTAAAGGTAGTCCACTGGTGGTAACTGAATCAATGAACATATATGGTATGGTATACTTAAATCTAACTTACACTCATTATTAATATTTGAAAAATACTTTTTGATGAACAGCAATTTTTTGTGTTCATAGTAATCCTAAAAGTTATATACAAGTATTAGATTGCAACAATGAAAGATATATTATATCAGTTTATATTTATTGAAAAGTAGTCAACTTGCCTGCATCACTGTTGTGTTACTTAAATATTCTTGGTCCAAATCAATGTTGAGCTGAATAAGTGAGACCATTCCACGCTTCATATTCACAATGTGAAGTGGCTCTAAGTTAGAAATTACTATTTTGTAGTTAACTACCTCCCCTTCATTGTACATAAAAGCAATGTCATTTCTGAAATGAAATTCCATAATAAATCAACATTTAAAAATAAGTTCATTGTGTAATTTGCACTCTTTAAAAGTATTAAGTCTTTTAATCACTGTTCCATATATAAAATAATCTAAATCCTTTTTAACATTACATCATTAGTAATAAATAATAAATATAATTTTAATATTTTACTAAATATTAGTGACTACAGCATTTCTTAATGATTAGCTATCTCTGCCATTAGGAATTGGTCAAGGTAAATCATTCCTTTTCTGTTTTTTATAACGGCTCTTGTCAATGGTCTAATTTAAGGGGGAAAATATCTTTACTTTTGTTAATCTATCCACTCTTTCCTTTATGTCAGAAATGCGAACTTTAAAGCATAACATCGCTACGTGAATGTGGATGAAGGCCTACTGTATTCAGGGTAGATAATTTACATCACTTCCCAAATTTGGTTATTTCCCTTTATAAAAGTTTAATTTGCCAAATCCCTTCAATTTTGTATTTGTTTGTGACGGTTATTTGTGTTTTTTTATTCAATATATATTTATATTTTAAAATGTTAAGAATAACACCATACCCTTCTTACCTGCTGAGCTCCTGTGCCAATCTTTCAGAATTGTCAACTGTTGTAAAATGATGTGAAGAGTTGCGATGTTGCAAGTTACAGTTTGAAATCTGTATTAGTATTTATAATAATATGTCAATATTATTACCACAAAAAACATTAATAGGTTAATATTATCCAGGAGGCCTTCGTGGAAGATATCTTTTTTAAAATTATTTTAAAATTGTGTTAAAATGAAATTTGTGCATCCTACGGTACAAAAATGTTTTGAGTTGTTCTAGATCTATATATTATAGATTTTCATTGTAGAACTTCAGATAGTTCTGCAGCCAAATTTCTTCGATATTTTAATCTAATAGTGATTTTAAGAAGGCTGTACAAAAATCAAACCAAAATAAAATTGTTTATACTATTGGTTTGAGTTTATATGTAACTATAACTGTAATGTAACTCAATCTCTCAATGCAACAAGCTCGCCGGTTGGTTATTAAAGGCTGCACAAAAATCAAACCAAAATAAAATTGTTTATTTTATTGGTTTGAGTTTATATGTAACTCAATCTCTCAATGCAACAAGCTCGCCGGTTGGTTAAGGCCATGCCGGGGATGGGGGGGGGGGGTCGTTCTGCTAAGAATATAAAGGGTCAACTCGAAATATTGTCCACATTTTTGTTTTTAAATGTAAGGCTTAAAACACGTAACAGTCATAATAATATTTAACGAAATAAAATACTAGATCTACCTGCATAACGATATGACACTGTTTGGGGACAAGGAAAACAAGATCACATGACAGCTTCGTACCGGCCCCGCCCCCCGAACTCTTCACTGTATTGTAAGGCGTCAGTCCTATGTCCGTCTCCACCTCGTAGTAATATTCGTATCTGTATCCGTGCTGGAAGTGAGATTCTGTTCAAATAATTAGACTTGTTTTAAAAAAATTATTATTACAACTGTTTGAAATTTTTAAAATTACGTTGTTAACGATCCGCAAAGCCTCTCGTACAACTGACATGTAAAAGAGAAAAAAAACATCCCCCCCCCCCCTGAAATAATCTTAGCACGCAAATGTGTAAATCTAAATGTGTGATTTAGTTTTATTTCCCCTTCATTCTTCTGGACTTGTTCTGTGTTCAGTATTTTTTAACTTTCTCGTTTTTGTACCTTATTTTTTTTTCTTTCTTTTTCTTTTTTTTTTTTTTTTTTTAGTTTAAACATATTACAACATGCCGTGTGAGTGAGTAAATTAGTCTGTTTAGAAAATCTGTTTCATTTTATGTTTCCGTAGATTTTTTTCTCATAGAATAAATTAGAGTTAACAGTGGATAACGGCAATAAAGCACCATTAAAGGGAGGTGGTTAAGTAATGTACCATTTAATTATTTAATTCATAAAGGGTTTTTTATTTTAAACTAGAGTCAAGTGATTATAATAACATCTTTATATTATAAAATTGTAGTCAAAACTGAAAACTTTTAAATATTGAAATTTAGTTAAATGGAAAAGTAGTAATCTTTATATTTTAATTGTATTATTATTTAAATTCTTTGTACTTTTAATGACGCGTGGAAACTTAGTTATATGTTTTTTTCCCTTGGCAATTTTCTGTTCTTAAATGGGAAGTAAGTACGATTTTATATTCAATGTAAAACAATCTATATATATAATTCTCCTCTTCGAGCCGTTAGAAAACAAGCTGCAAACGCTCTCCCTACCTCCCCACCCCTACATGGTTTTAGTGAGCTGTGTTCACTCTAAATGTTTACAAGCAGAGCCAACGATTTTAAACATAGGGGGGGGGGGAAGGAAGGGGGGGGGGTTATGGTCCTTAACGAGCTACTTATAGTGTTTTAAAGAAATATTTTCAGTGTCAGCGTTGGTACTGTCGAATTCACAAATTATGAATTATTGAAAATTAGAAACAACTAAATAGCGGCGTATGTTATGCCGCGGGCCGGCTCGTTCTAATAATTCTTCAAGCTTTAATTGTCTCAACTCAGATAATAAATTAAAATGCCACTCCATTTGTTTTTATACATGGTATAATAACCTCCCACCCCCATAGATCCCTCTGTAAAAAGAAATGTATTGTCATAATACTACCAATGTAACTTATTAAAATCTATTTCTGAATCAATATATATATATATATATATATATATATATATATATATATATATATATATATATATATATATATATATATATATATATATATATATATATATATAGGGGTCGTCCATAAATGACGTCACACTCGTAGGGGGGGTCCGTAATTTTGTGACGGTGTGTGATGAAGGGGAGTGGGGGGTGTTCAGTGTTCAGGTGGTGCGACGTCACACTCTTGCATTTAAAAAAAAGCAATGTTAGAAAACGAATTTTAGACGTTATTTCGCGTTTTAGAAAACTATTTTACTAAATTGTAATATGAATTCATTAAAATACTCTATTTTGACAGAGTTCGGACAAGATTTTAAGAAAATATCGATGTTTTTAAAAAAATTCAACTGCAATTTTGAGGACGGTTGTAGGCTGAGGTGTGACGTCATTTTAGGAGGGGGTCTGGCTTTTTGTGACGACGTGTGACGGAGGAGAGGGGGGGGGAGGTAAAAATCGTCCAAAAAAGCGTGACGTCATTTATGGATAACCCCATATATATATATATATATATATATATATATATATATATATATATATATATATGTAACTAGGGTAAGTTACGACAACAGTGGCCCTGCTGTTTTAGGGGTGGGGACAGCGCGACGCGACGTATCACCTATACCCATGTGTCAACCCGGGCGTGGCCAGAGTGACCATAATTGCTGTGGCCCCCAGAAAGACGATCGCTGACAGCATTGTACTGGACAAGCTGTTAAATTGAACACAAAGGCATGCTCGCGGACTACAGGACGGCTGACAGTTTACGACACGATAAACTCTCCGAAACTGACCGGGGCGTGACAATAGGCCGGGAATAGCAGGAACAGGTAACCTACGGGGAAGACGAACTGACACTTTTACAGCTAGGGTATGACCTGACCTTCAGGAACATTCTTAGATTCTAGTGGTAGCGTATATATACGGACTCATCGACACAAGACCGGACCTTATAACCAGAAGCTACACGAGAGACGGGAGACTAGACTTTGGTCGTGGTACGAGTTGTAAATCCAGACCAAGATAGAAGGAACCAGTACCGACTTGTTTACTGTTTACCGGACTTAGGGGTGAGTAAGATTGTGTTTAGCTGTCATTGTTAGTGGATATATTGTGAATGGTGTGTATGAATTGTGTATGTTGTGCGTTGTTAGTTGATACTTTGGGATGTGGAGTATGAATGTAAGTTGTTAGGTTAATAGGTTGTTGAAGTGAAAGACTAGATGATTGTGAGGATTAATTTTTATTTATTGTTTATTTCTTTACAGACTTTGGAGGTCTGTTGGGTTTTCGTTTTAGTTTGATGTTATTTGTCAATAAAAGATCGAACCTACCCTGCTCGCAGCGCCAAATGAGGAGGGTCTGAGGGTTATTGCGTATGCCAGTCGGGCTCTGAAGGGTTCAGAGAAGAACATGACAAACTACAGCGCCATGAAATTAGAGCTTTTGACATTAAAATGGGCTGTGACTGAAAAATTCAGGGACTATCTATTAGGTGCTAAATGTGTGGTATACACTGACAATAACCCCCTGAGTCACCTACAGACAGCAAAGTTAGGAGCCATCGAACAGCGATGGGCAGCAGAATTGGCACTCTTTGACCTGGAGATAAAATATCGCTCAGGGCAGTCCAATGGCAATGCGGACGCTTTATCCGGGAATCCTTACGAGAGACCGGGCGATGAGGAAGAAATGCTGACAGGAATATGTGAGGTCAGAGCGTCAACAGATATCCCTCACGAAGTGCAAGTGATGCAAAACGGGCAGACCGCGGTGGATCACACATCCACAGAGCCCAGAAACATGGACACCAGTGATTTTAATTGTCTTAATCATAAAGAGATAAGAGATTCTCAGAGAACGGATAGTGGGATACAGCCGCTATTGAAATACATCCAAGAACAAAATCTCCCAAGTAGAAGGGAAAGAGAACAGTTTAGTCGGGAAACAAAGAAACTACTGAGTCAGTGGGACCGCCTCAGTATGAAGGATGGTGTACTCATGCGGAGAATTCATGACGACATGGAAGGAGCAATACACCAGGTGGTGGTGCCTGGACAGCTACGAGAAGAAGTGTTAAGATTGGCACACGACAGAGCGGGACACCAAGGGCAGGATAGAACTCTCAAAATATTACGACGGCGGTGCTACTGGCCCAATATGGAGATGGCGGTCAGACGCCATTGTGAGGCTTGTTTGAGGTGTCAGCATGCGAAAGTGCCGGTTGTCAAAATGAGACAACCATCAGGACACCTATTGGCGACAAAACCTCTAGAGGTTGTGGCTATGGATTTCACGTCTTTGGAACCCTCATCCGATGGGACGGAACATGTGTTGGTGATGACGGACGTCTTCACCAAATGGACGGTGGCCGTGCCCACACGAAACCAGACGGCCAAGACTGTGGCAAAAACGCTAATAGAGCACTGGTTCACCAGATATGGTATACCAGCGCAACTACATTCTGACCAAGGACGGGCCTTCGAGTCAGAAGTAATTAGCCAACTGTGCAGCCATTACGGTATCACCAAATCGAGGACCACTGCGTATAACCCAAAAGGTAATGGACAGTGCGAGCGGTTTAACCGCAGCATGCATGATTTGCTGCGTACTCTACAACCTGAACAGAAAAAACGTTGGCCTGATTTTCTCCCAGAGTTGGTATACCTATACAACTGCACCCCCCATACCACGACCGGCTTTTCGCCACATATGCTATTGTTCGGACGGGAGGCTCGACTCCCTCTTGACTTATTCCTAGGTACAAAGGAAAACATGACTGGCTCATACACCGCACTGGAATATGTGAATGAACATATAAAACGGATAAGAGAGATGTACATGGTGGTACAAGAAAGACTAGAACACGAAGCACGGCGAAGAGAACCGCCGGTACAGATAAAAGACCCACCGCTCCAACTGAACGACAAAGTATTACTGCGTAGCCACCCATTAGGCACGAACAAAATACATGACGTATGGGGACAGGAGGTTTGGCAAGTCATTGAGATGCCTAAAGTTGCCGGTGGCCCCTTCAAGGTGAAAGCCGAGAATCACACCAAAGCCGATCGATGGGTAAACATCGCACAATTAAAGAAATATTACCCTAATCAAGAAACGGAACAACACACTCGTAAAGCTAGTACAACTAGGGAACCATCTACTTACACAGAAATTCTCATACCCATCATTGAACCGGTTCAGCAACAGGAACGAGAAAGTGAGAAACCAGCGGGGGATAAAACACAGTGATGACGAGCCTGGTCATCTCAGTGAGAACATGGTGAGACCGGCTATAGGACCGCGGAGGAGCATGAGGAAACGTAAGAGTACAAAATTGTTCCACTTCAAATAGAAACTACCAGATTCAGAACTATGGGATACTAGGGGGAAAGAAGAAAAAAATATTGCATAGGAAATAATGTAATTGATAATTGTTTTTGTAGATAATTTTGATGTGATGTTTGGGCTCGGTGTGGTCACCGAAGAAAGTGGGGAGGGGGAGGATGTAACTAGGGTAAGTTACGACAACAGTGGCCCTGCTGTTTTAGGGGTGGGGACAGCGCGACGCGACGTATCACCTATACCCATGTGTCAACCCGGGGCGTGGCCAGAGTGACCATAATTGCTGTGGCCCCCAGAAAGACGATCGCTGACAGCATTGTACTGGACAAGCTGTTAAATTGAACACAAAGGCATGCTCGCGGACTACAGGACGGCTGACAGTTTACGACACGATAAACTCTCCGAAA